TTTGGAGTTGTGGTTGGGGAGTACAGAACATACACCAATACAACACACACACACACACACACACACACACACACACACACACACACACACACACACACACACACACACAACAAACACAAATCGCTCGACAAGTGAGATAGCGAACGGACTCACACACGTCCACAGTGGTAAACACTGGTATCCTGACCGACCAGTGCCCAGACCCGGGTGCAGCTGTCGTGGCTTTTGCAAATCGGCTTGAAGGTAATGGGTTTCGCCTGCATGAAGGAAACACGTCTGGTCCTTCTCCTTGGGGACATAGCAGCTGCTTAGCCTGCTTAGATACGCCGCTGCTGCTCCGTTACGTGACTTACGTCTAGTACTCAGTCCCACACGTTGTCACAATCCCCGAGGCTGCTTCCGAACAAGATATCCACAAGGGGTGTCCTGTTTTTGGCTTTTTCACTTTGAAAGGCGACAGCCTTGAGGATGATAGGCCGAGCCCGCGTCCCGCGTACTTCTTTCACTTTTTTTTTTACTTTTTTTTTTTTGTGTAAGCCCCCTCAGAAGACACCCCCCTCCTCCCTGCCTTTGTCCCGCGTACTTTTCTGCTGCGCCTCAGAACTGAGACCTCATGCTCATTATGCTCCTGATGGATGCTTAACATGCGCTCTATCAAAGGAAACGGTGGGTACTAGGTAGACAGCACGGCATCCTCTTTAGACCAGCACAGGCTTATCCGTTCCTCCACTGCTGACGCTGAACTCCTTTTTTTTTTTTTTTTTTTTTTTTCTTTCCCCGGAAATGGTGACGGCCTTGAGGTATCATCATCAAACTGATATGCCCCAGGTTTTCCATTCAACTGATCACACGAACGATTCCAACTCAGGTCCGTATAGCAACAGTTCATCGATGATTCGATGTAGCATTCAGCCATATGGGCTTGGGTGGTTGGTTCACGCTGAATTTAGGGGAAGGCTCCACGGTTCAAATCTAGTTTGATGATTCATCTGAAAATGGCTGAAGGGGGGGGAAACACAATTTCCGCAGGCCGTGGAGCCTTCCCCTACCTCCTTCACCCCTACCCCCCCTCCCCTCCACACGCAAAAGCTGACGAATGATGGCATGGCGAACCTCACAATGCTCTAAATCTTCTCCTTCTATTGTACCCCATCGATGCAACGAAACGATGCATCACCTCCTTC